ATTAAAAATCGATCTAAAATATCTTAATAAATCGATAAACAGTAAAATTGTCGCGTAATTCACTTCGAAGCTCGATTAAAAGTGTATTAAAATTTTAAAACTCTACGAGATAATGATTTCTCGTCATCGAACGAGCGATCGTTGGAAAGGAGAATTTTTTATTATCTGCTTAAACTCGCGTTTCTTTTCATTAAATTATCTATCCCAAACTTTGGACAAGTGACAGGCATAATTTCTGGGAAAAACGCGTGATACGCGATTTCTAGAAAACATAGGAAATTTTTCAGGAAAAATTGTAGGTCACTAGGTCGCTAGGATCTATTCATAATCTTCGCGCCATCATAAGTATTATTATGCAAACTTTGAATCCTAATATCTCGGCAACAAACCGAGATAAAACAGAAAACTTCAATAGCATTCTTTCCTCTATCTTCTGAATATATTTTAATTCGTGATATTTATATCCTATTTTCTATATATTAATCTAATATTGAACACGTTTCAGATGCATAAAAATCCGCAGTCTGCTCATAGATACATATACAGATATCGATAGATATATTTTTCACGAAAAACATTCCGCGATATGTTCGAGAGAAATTGCTCGCGTTACTTTCCCCAGGAAACGAATGACGAAAGTTTACCGTTTCGGGCAAACGAGAAGATTTTCCTGGAAGCATAGAAACTAATGGCTTAATCCCCCTTATTTATGTCGGTCGATATCCTCGAAATTTTTACCGCGCTATTTTTTTTTAAATTACACGTATCATCCGAGAGAAATCATTCCATCTTCTTATTCCTCGACTAATTTCCATTCCATCTGTTATATCTGCCAACTTCGTTTTCGTCCTTTATTTTTTCTTTCTTTCTTTTTTTCTTTCTTTCTTTCTTTCTTTTTTGCACGCGTAAAAGAAAAACGTAAAGTAAAGAAAAAGAACGGATGAACGGGGTGGAGGGGGAAGGAAAGGAAAAATCAGAAAACCGCACAAACCAGTAACCGGGTTAAGCAGCATCTATTTGTCGTCGCCCCTTCCCCCGCGGTTTTTCTTCTCTCCGTTATCCATTAACGCAAAATCGCGCTCTCTCTCTTTCCCTCTCTTCCTCCCTTCCCCTTTTCTCTCTGTCTCTCGCTCGAGCACAATAGCGCGTGCAGATACGCCGGTGCAGAATGTGCTTATAGGAAAACCATAGCCCCGCCGGTACGTACAAAATCAATGGGCCGTGAAACGAGGCTATTAAACGGTCGAGTCAAGCACCGACGATCCAAGTCCGACCAAGCTTGTCCTTTCCCTCATCGTTCTCATCGTGGCAAGCATCAAACATCGCGGGATGTTATCGATCGGATCGTTTAATCATCCCCGATGACCCTTACCCTTCCTTCCAATCCTTCATCAAAGGAAAAAGAGATCGGGCTTCCTCGTCTTCGTAACTCGCGACTCATCCAATTCTTTGATTTCTTCCATTTCGATCGTTCCCCCCTCCCCGCCGATAATTAACCACGAGACATATATTTCGCTCGTTCATCTATTCTCGAGAAGTGGAACGAGAAGAATTCTTTAAGAGTATTATTCCAACGACGAGAATATCGTGCGTAGAATAGAATTTTAAATATGAACCGGAGTTGGCTTGGATTAAAGTATAGCGGCGCGATTCGAACGACGGTGCATTAAGACCGGAAGGAAATTTCACTGCGCGCCACTCCGCGACACGTCCCTTAAACACTTTTTCTCGCCTTTAATCTTCCCTTCTCGCCGGAATCAATCTTGAACGAGTGAAAGGAACGAAAACTCGAGTCTCGATTGGTAACATTGGCTATTTAATCGCGTCGAATTTTTTTTATTCTGTTTCTAGAATTCAGGGAAGCGTTCAGACTGTTCGACAAGGACGGGGACGGAAGCATCACGAAGGAGGAACTCGGCAGGGTGATGCGCTCGCTGGGGCAATTCGCGAGGGCCGAGGAGCTGCGCACCATGTTGCAGGAGATCGACATCGACGGTAAGCATTTCTTTCGCGCTCCAAATATTTTCCGTTGTATTTTTGAACGGTGGGAATAGCACGCTATTCTATTAACCCGGATACAGGGGTGTATCGCGAAAGCGAAGCAAAAACGAACGAAATGCATCGCCTCTCTCGAAAGCCACCCTCGGACGTGGTGTTAATCGAAAATTTCCCATTAATATTCAACGATCCTGCAAGCGAAAACGAAACCGTGCACGCGGCGCATCGAGGAATACGACCAGGGGCCAGGATTCGTTAAAATTCGTAACGTCGTTTCCGACCACGTGGTTAAATTCATTAGAGGCACGTTCGAATTGGATGAGACGAGTCTCCTTGCACGCTCTCGAACGGCTTTGTTGACGTTGTTTCACGAACTTGGATCCGTGGAACGGATGCCATACAGATCAGTGGAAGAAGTCGATATCTGGATCGAGATTCCTCGAACTGTAATTGTGTTACGCTTGTGTTCGAGCGACGTCTTAATTGCGTGTAATTTTCGAGAATTATTCCTCGGTGCTAGGAATGCACTTCTCGCCTCGAACTTTACATAATTTTTTGGGCGTCAGTAGCAAGGAAGAGATGTTTCATTGATTACGTTTTCGAAATGAAATGGTGGAGAATTAAGATCATTCCTAGGAAGCGATTGAAATTTCCCTTTTTTCTTATCCTTTCAGTTTGTTATATTAAAGGATAACAAAATAAGACGAGGATTTTGTTGGAAATTGAACTATGTTTGTTTTTTTTTTTTNATATGTTACGCGATCACCATGAACCGAATCTAAGATCGAAACGGAGAACGANNNNAAGTAGATACTGTTCGCGTGGAGAGAATATGTTGCTCTTAGCGCGGATTCACCGCGCTTCTTCTCAACAATATACGATGGGATGCATATCGTAGGGCATCGATACCTGTTGCTGATTCCTCCTTCACCAAAAAGGTAATCTCTTCGTCGTTGATTCTCTGCTTTTGCGATAAAAATCTTTCGAGATATCATTATTATTAAGAACGTTCATATTCGGACCAAAAGATCGAGAATACGTTAAAAATCTTCGACTCTGTCCATTTATCCAAATTACCCCAGAATTGTAGAATCCTTCTCGGTGCTTGTTCATTCGTCATATATCACGCTAGAATCGTGAAACGAGATTAACTGTTTACTCGAAGATTTAAAATCGACGCAAAGAAATACGTAGGCGGGGAAAGATTTCACCTTAATCAAATCGCGACGAATAAAGTAAAAATCGCGTGCTTGAGCCGTAACCGTGGTGAAAAGCGTTCGTTAAAAACGGAAATTGTTCCGCGAAATTACCCGCACGTCTAAACAAACGCCACGCTGGCCCATTTGCCGTAACGAATCCGAAAGCTGTCGTGGTCAATTGCGAATCGTGTTTACGGCGCGTAAAATTTCCCCTCTCTATGTGACGTGTGTCGCCAAGTTATTACGCCGGTTAGCTTTGCGCCGAGGAAACGTGTGTGACGCTCGTGAAAGGCTCGATCGCGTTCGCGCACGATTTTTATTAATTTTACGACCCGGTGAATAAACAACGCGTACGCAACGAATCGATGTAACGATTTGACGCCAATCTTTTGAATCTTGATCTCGATACGAAATCTGCAACGAGAGAGAGAGGATCCTTATTTTCTTATCGTTTATTTGCACGTCGCCGTCTCAACCGACTTTTCGAACAGTTTCTCTCCGTCAGCTTCGGGAGGAGCGCTTGATTACAAGTTGGATTGTACGAACCGTTGCACATGCTGCGAGGACTAATTGAATAATGTTTGCCGTTTCTAAACAAGTTACACCTCTCGCTGAAGAATTTAACGAGAATTTGTCTTTCGTCTCGCCACTCGCAAACGTAACTATCAATATTTGGTCAATGGCACTTATGCAATTCCCGCTTATAGAATGGAAGCACAATGGAAGAATTCCGGCATCCAGTTTCAACGTCTGGTTCCCAGATTTAGCGCCATACTTCAACACCGAATTCGAATTTCGATATTTGGAAGCTGATGTACGAGTAATTAGAAGTAGGCACCCGAAACGAGACCAGTGCTCATACATCTCGTATCAACGAATGAATACGTTCGCCTGTGTACGCGCAAAGAGAAAAAAAGAAATAGAAAAAAGAAAGAAAGGAAAATGCGCACGGACACATCGACGCGGCGATACAAAAACGGAGAAAAGAAAAAAAAAATATATATATATATAGAGAAAGAGAGAGATAGAGAGATTGCACCGACGATGACATCGCTTCGATCCGACATCCATCGCTTCGTTTCAATGGATCCACTTCTCCGCCGGTCTCGACTTACCACGATCCAGCGCGGACCATTCCACGCATCGAACGTCAATCGAACTACGGTGCCACGTCGATCGTGTGTCGGACGTTGTTGCGTGCGTCGCGGAGGTCGATCGGCACGGATCATGGACGGTGGTGGCTCGAAGTGTAACTCGAAGCCACGGATCGTTATTCACGGTGCATGAAACGGTGCACGTGTGAGAGAAAGTTGGAGGCGCAAATTGATTTTCGCCATCCCTGTTATCGTACGAGTCCGCCAGGTTTACGCGGGAATTAGCGGTCGTGAGAAATTGGCTTGGAGGTTGGTTCCGTATAAATTGCAGTCACGAAGGGAGGAATATTGGTCCCAGGGATTGAAAACGAGAATCTCCAGCTCCAGGATTTCGAGTTTATTTTTAATCCGCGAAGACCTGTGCGAATCAATTTATCACGTCGAAACTTTCGTTCAACGGCTTTGCACGCTGTTGTTTGCTATTGTCATTACGTGGAAGGGAAAGTTGACGCGTTTGCGAGTTCGAAGTAGAAATTGCGAGTGGAATTTCAAAGTATTCGGGGTAGGAAATTGGCGAGAATTTTAAATGAATCGGTGAAAAAGGGCGGGTAAGCGAGTGCTCGCTTATATATTCGTCTCTCTTGTATAACGTTCTGCGCGTGCACAACGTTGCATCGAAACTTCGTCCAAGTTAATTTCCAAGATACTTCTCACGGCACGCTGATTCATCTGAACGAGAGTTTTGAAATTCGAGATCCGAGATATTGTTAAATGAACGAAATCTCGCTTTAATATCACAACACTTTGTATATAACGTTGCGTATGTATTTTCGCAAATACGATTTCATCTAGTATCAAGATACTACGAGGCAAAATGTTACGAAGATTCTTGAAAATTCATTTTTACTGGAAATACGTGAATACGCAGAAAATTCAAATCGAGCGATCAAACAACGACTACCTCACGATTTTTCACTAGCTTTGTCCACGCTTTGAAACGCTTCGTGTAACGTGTTATTTTTAGAGGTTTGAAATACAGACGGGCCGGGGAACGAATCACAATTAAAATTGATTCGTTTGATGGTTTTTCGATCGATGAATCGTTATCGACGCGCGCCGAATCACCGTTATCTTTATCGACGACATCTAAATTTCCCGTTTCATCCGAGGTGACTAACATTTATCAATACGGATATATCGCGAAATATTTCCAAACGAACGTTGCATTGTTGAACCATGGAAAGGAAGGATTAAAACGTTTCGCTCGAAATGCAAAACATTCGTGTACAACTATTATACACGTCTAATGTACACACAGCTTATGTACATACATGGAAACGGTACGGTATGAGAGCGCGTAGAGTTTCGATTTCCTACAAAACGAGAATCACTCTTTCAAAGTGAACCACCATCGATACCGACTACGTGAGTGGATTCGATTTACAAAACGATCAAAATTCTAACTAACTGCACGGACAAATTGATCCTGTGTGACGTTGTTGAATAAACAACCATCCCTTCCATTGTAATTTTGCATGTTCGCCGGGCAGACGCGCACGGTCTCTGCATATTCCATACCGACGTCGTATCCGTCAGAGACGTATTAGGTTCCGCGTGATCCTCCTCTGTTCGCCTTTGACGCCACTTCCTGAGAACCTACGCGCCCTGAAACGTATCGATGAAGCTATCCTCCTATCCGTCTCAATAATTTATCTTGTTCGAATTATCATTGTTATCAATTTTTCTAAACGATATACAATAATACGTACGATAATATTTAGACGTTTCCAATAAATAGCACGGTGTTATATATATTGATCTCGATTCCGGGCTAATATCAAGGACAGGGAACGTAACCGTTCTTCACGGTTCGCGGTTCGAACAAATTGAACAAGCACGAGAGATGCATTGCCGCTTTATCTTCTTCACGTTTTTCTTGCGGGAGATGCGAGGGAAATGCGGTTGAATGAATTGCGGTTTATTCGTGCAACCGCCATTCGTTTCGTTACCGTTTATATGTGCCGATCCTTCCTTAGTCTAGAAACGCGCGACGAATTTTAAATTTACGGCTTCTGCATCTGTAACGGATGTAATCCCTGGTGTTGCTATCGCACCTTCGTACAACTATGTTTCTCCATATTTTTCTTTTTTTTTTTTTCCTCCGCGACACGTTCACTCGCAATTATTCACGAGTTTAACGCAGTTTACAAATTGCAGAAAATCCCTCGATGAAATATGAAAAGAATCGAAATCTATATTCGTCGCAAACAAACGAAACAAAGAGAGAAAAAAAGAGAGAGAGAAAAAAGGAAAAAAAATAAAATAATTCTTCTCCGGTAAACAATTTTGACAACAGATGAAATATAAGTTTTGAATTAAGGGGTGCGTTGACGGCTGAGCGTTTCTTTTTTTTCTTCTTTTTCTTTTTTTTTTTTTGGAGGAAACGCTGCGCACAAGCTCTAATTTATTCCGTGAGAGGTGGCTGAGGATCGCGAAGCGACTACTTTTCAAGGAGAGCACGGTTTTCCGCCACGCTCTTTGTCGATGAACTCGGCGAGCTGGGACGGGGGAATCTCAAGACTCGTCGAGAGATTCCAAAGTGGTGCGCGGTTACTCTGATTATGTCGTTGGCCGCGTTCCTGAAATTTCCCGTCCAAACTCCGGGATAAGTAAACCAAGAGTACTTTACGGGTCCATGTGTGCCACGCGCATACCAATGCGTCCGAGCATAACCGCGTGGTTCAAAAAAAAAAAAAAAAAAAAAAAAAGGTGGAATAAACGTAAGGGCAAGTGGGTGCAAAAGTCGGGTGGCATGGCAGACTTTTATCCAAAGACAAGCTGATTTAGGGCCCGGTTTTGCGACACCCGAGAGTCTACCAGCCTGTTAACTCGTGGTAAATGTCCTAATGATCCACCAATTAAAATTTCCTCGCCTACTTAACGATTTAGATTTAGATTTCGCGTCGGATTTTGTGACGAGTCATTTCTGTTTCTTATTGAATTACAATATTTTTTTTTTAGTAACAAATCGTAAAAAAAAAAAAATTAAATAAAAATAATTGTATTTTTATATATATTTTAAAAATAAATGAGTGATTAGCGATAAGAATTACGCGATTACGCGTATATGACTCATCAACACTCATAATTCTGCTGATAATTCTGCGTTTATTAAACAAATTGCGAAAAATCATTAATCTTATCAAATTGTGTATAATTCAAAATATAATTTTCATATCGTTAAGAGGCCATGTTTCGTTTCCCTCCATTCTTTTTTTCTTTTTTTTTGCGGCGTGTTTCGGGTAGATTTTTTTTTTTTTTTTAATTGGAACAGGTTAGCCGGAAACACGATAACAGTTTTGTCGATTTCGAAAGGTTTCCAGTTGGTGGAACAAAAGAAATCCTCCGATTTCCATTCGAATCTCGAATGGCGATAATCCAATTTGTCGTGGAAAAAAAAAAGCGAAGGACGTTAAGAGTAATTCTTCACGCCTAGCCGGGACGTTTAATCGCTCGTACAAACGAACGTTGCTTATCTTTGTAAACGTGCCGCGATAACTTCGTGTGCATAAGTTCAAATGAACGTCGAGTTAGACACGCGATTACGCACGCTTCATGTATATATATATATATATATATATATATATAGAAGCGTTCGAAATCCTCCATAAGGTACA